CGCACTCACACACACACACACACTCACTCACTCACTCACTCACACACACGCACAGCGCTGTCCCCTGTGTGGCAGCAGATTGAGGTTGATTTGAGCATCATTAATGATGGTGTGAGCAGCTCGCTGAGGACAGACGCGTTCCTTAAGTTTCCGTGACGTCAAGCGCTCCTGTCGCTAGCTCCTCCTGCTGGGACGGTGAGATGCTGTAAATGTGCTATTACCAAAATAAAGCATGAGAACGTCACGTACAGAGCGTCATTCTAGGCTGCTGAGTCCCGTATTGCTTGAACAGCAGGATTTGTTCATAGTTCCTGCCAATGTAGATTCGTTTGACTCGCTGATGTTCTTATGTAAGCAGTGTTTGCCAGTCTGCTTCGCCACTCAGAGCCTGTTATTATCCAGGACTTTGGTTTTCCGATGGCAGAAAGGCCAGTGTGAGTAATTAAAGAAGGCCATTTTTTATGACTTTTCTTTCTTGCGCTCAGATGCATGAGTTATCAAACACACTTAAAAAATTAAAGAATCAATCATAGTTCACATGCATAAATTAAAGCATTTATTCCTGAATCCATCAAACATTCAGAAGGCTTTAATATCTTTTCTCTCTCGTCTCTTGTGTTTGGATGGGATGCTCTACTGTTAGTTTAGATGAACAGCTGACAGAATAATTAGGAAACTCAAATCCTCATCTCATATGGAAATGCTGATGTGTATTTATCACAGTGAGGGCCTCAGTCTCTCCATCATGGCGACACAAACACTGTGTGTCAATATTAGTTTGTGTGTGCCGTTAAAGTCTTGAAGTGCTTGTCAGTCTTAAAAGGGATACTGTTTATTTATTCATATATATATATATAAAATGTAAATTTTTTTTTTTTATAACATATACTGTATTTTATATATTTACACACACACACACACACACACACACGTATATATATATATTGATATATATATTGTTAGCAAGAACAAATGTCAGAAAACTTTTTGATTTGTTTTGAATGGTTGTGATTGCAGAAATATGGTTTTTGCTTGACCACACTAACCAGACAAACTTTGATGTTTTGTTTTTTTGCAGCTCAGTTTCTATTAAAGCTCTTCTTTTTACTCTGAGGAGGAAGTGTTAAGTTCTGAACTGTACAATATGTTTTCATTATTCATCAAGCTCTTTTATCTGACGAGATCAATGAAGGTATGCTTCCTAATGCCTGCGCTCTCTCTGTGTCTCTGCAGCTCTTGACGTCCGTGTCCCAGAATCCCCTGCGGTGGCTCTGTTCGGGTCGGACGCCGTCCTCAACTGCTCTTTCTCGGGCGTCTCAGAGTTTAATCTGTCTGATCTGAGCGTGTTCTGGCAGCTCTCGGACACCAAGCGTGCCGTTCACAGCTTCTGGCAGAGCCGCGATCAGCTGAGCGATCAGGAGGAGCGCTTCTCCAACCGCACCAGCCTGTTCCAGGATCAGCTTGTGTCCGGAAACGCCTCGCTGCTGCTGAGGAGAGTGCGTGTGGCGGACGAGGGAAGCTACTCGTGTTTCGTCAGGGTTCAGACGTACGGCAGCGCAGCCATGCTGATGCAAGTCGCAGGTAACCAATCACAAATCACACAGGACATTCAACTTTTCAATTCAAGTTTATTTGTATATCGCTTTCCACGATGCAAATCGTTGCAAAGCAGCTTTACAGAAAATGTTAAGTTTCTACATTATATTTAGGAGTCGGTTATTAGTGGTGACTATGGCAGAAATGTACAGTAAGAATCATGCAGTTAGTTACAAATTACATGCAATCAAACAGACGGTGAACACTATTAGCAGCAATGATCATATGTTGTGATTAAACTTTGCGATTAAGCAAAATGTGGTAGTTTAAGTTGTTTCAGGGTTGGCATCATCTGAGGTCCTCTGAGGGGTTGGCATCATCAGAGTGTGTCTGAATCCCGAACGTTATCAGGAAGGCTATTCCAGAGTTTGGGAGCTAAATGTGAAAAAGCTCTACCTCCTTTAGTGGACTTTGCTATCCTAGGTACTACCAAAAGTCCAGAGTTTTGCGACCTTAGGGAGCGTGATGGATTGTAGCTCAGGGAAAATTATGAGATGATTGGCAAAAGTGTGGAATAATTAAGATTTTAAATGTTTTTGAAAAACTCTTCTGCTCACCAAGGCTGCATTTATTTGACCAAAAATAGTAAAAAAATGTGATATATTATTACCGTTTAAAACAGCTGTTTTCTCTGTGAATATCTGTTAAACTGTAATGTATTTCTGTGATGCGCAGCTGTATTTTCAG